TGTGACCGGAGTCTGCCAGAGGTCAGGAGGGGACCCACGGGAGGGCCCCACCCGGGCCCAGCACTGCTGTGGAGGCTGAGGCCGATCCCGAGTCAGGCCTGCCCATCAGTGGGGCAGCCCCGAGGGCGGGCGGGTGACGGGCCGTGCTGCCTGCTGTTGTCTTCGAGAGCCTGGTGGGCCAGGAGATGGTCCCCAGGCCGGCTCATTGGCTCAGTTGGTCCTACAGGAAGGGCCCAGGGTTCCTGGGCCAGCCAGGAGAGGGAGGTACAGGCCTCCTGTGCTGAGTCGGCACCCAGGGGGTCACCATGGCAACGGCACATCCTGGGGGAGCTGGGAAGTGAGCGTGTTGTGGGCGGCGCCCACGTGCTGTCTGCTTTTCGGGTGAGTGCACGGGGTGGGGGGCTTGCACGGCGGACGGGGATGTGTTCTTGCGTGCACACACATGCGCACCCTGAGCCTTGCCTGCGGAGGCCCCCGTGAGGGCATCTGCCTGTAGCACCGTGGGACTGGGGGATGTGGTCAGGGGTGTGGGGCCACCGGGGCACAGGTGTGCTCCAGGTGCAGGCTGAGCTGGCTTTTCTTGTCGTGGTGACCTTGCTCTCTTGGTCCGCGCTCCACGGGCCTCTCTTCCCCGAGCGTGGGTGTGGGGAGCAGATTTGGACACTGAGCGGGGAGTCCAGGCCTTGCTCACAGTTTTTGCAGGCCCGCGGGCTCACCGCCTCCAGGCAGGCCTCCCAGGCAGCCCTGGCTGGCCTTGTGGTACTCCAGGCCCGGGAACAGAGGCGCCTCCATCAGAGGTCAGCCGTGCTGGCTCCGGCCGCCCCTCGCCCAGCCAAGGCTCCGTCTCCTCCTGTCCAGTGGGGACAGGTACAGCAGCTGCCTCCGTGGCCAGCTGGGGTCCAGAGCGGCTCTGCTGAGATGAGCTCTGGCCCGGACTGAGGCACCGGTGGTTGCGGCTGTGCCGTGTCTGGCGATGGGGTCCTGAGGGGCCAGCGTCGGGAGCGAGAGGTGGGGGGCAGGCGCGGAAACCCCACGACGAACAGACAGACGGACAGACAGCGGGCCGTGGGGAAGGGGCGTTCTTTGGGCCGGCGTGGAGAGACAAGAGGGCCAGGCCAGGGCTGGACCTGCCCACCCTGTGTGCCCCTCTGGTCAGGGGACACGGCGCTGGCCCCGCCACACTGTCCTGTGGGCCCCAGGGGAGCCGAGCTTCCCAGAGCCCTGGCTGGGCATGGAGGCCACTTGGGGCCTTAATCTGGGGGTTGTGAATATGTGTTGGGGGCCATACCATGCTGTCCGAGACACCTCAGTCTCCCCATCTGGTGAGAGTTAGCCACGAGGGGGCTCACGTGGACCAGGTGCTGCAGAACAGGGGGTCCCATTAGTGGCCAGCTCGGCAAGGGGGCGACTTGGGGGCGTCAGGCCTCATGGAAGAGCTGACTGCCACCCGCCAACATAGCACTGCCTTGGGACAGCAGAGTCCCTGTCCTCAGAGGCCAGACAGGCCTTATGCTGCACAGCCCTGCCCCCCAGAGCCTGGCGTGGCCGATGGACAGCAGCCAGCCACGAAACCTTCCCACCCAGCAGGGCCGAGCACGGCCCCCCGTGACCCCCTGGGGGTCTCAGCCTTTACCGGTGACATCTCTATAGCTTCAGCGATGATGACAGTCCCTGTGGCAGGGTCCAGAGGGGTGAGGCAGGGTGAGCACAGTCTGAGAGAGACCTGGAGGGGTTCCCCCACATCTCTGAGACCCTGACCTCACAGAGGGGTATCTGTGAACCCCCACAAATGAGGAGGTGGGCAGGCTCAGCTGCGATGTCAACCCCATGTCCTCCAGGTGAGGACAGAGTGGCGCCCAGTGGCTGGACAAGGGACTGCAGGCTCGGGCCACGGCTGCTGCCCCGTGCGCCCACCTGCTCTGGGCCCGGCAGGGGTGTCCGCAGGTGTGGGGTCTCGGAGAAAGGGCGGAGCTTCTGAGGCTAGACCAGGGGCCAGGGACGGGGGAGCCTGGGCCGTGGCGTGGCTGGGGGGCTGGGCGCAGGTGGGGGTGGCCGCAGGAGCCCCCGTGACCGCGCTCTGTCTCGGCAGACGGCGCCCCGCTCGGCGAGCTGTCCTGGTCGTCCTCCCTGGCCGTGGTGGCAGTGTCCTTCTCCGGCCTCTTCTCTGTCATCGCCCTCATGCTGGCCTGCCTGTGCTGTAAGAAGGGCAGCATCGGGTTCAAGGTGAGGCCGGGGGGCCCGGGGGGCCGAGCGTCCCTCTCTCCTGGGCCACCTGGGGACCATATGAGCCCAGGCCCGGAACCCCACAGCCCCGCCCTGGGGCTGCCCTCAGGGACCCATCTGGGTTTCCGCGGTGGGGTCACGGCCTCACACTGTCTGTCCTGGCTCAGGGCCAGGCCTCAGGACAGTGAGGGCGGGCCTTGCAGGGGGTGTAGGAGGGGCCTCACCCCCCCCCCCACCCTGAGCCCCTGACTTCCCGGGGAGGGGAAGGAGGGAGGACGCACTTTGCAGCCCCCAAACCAGCCCACTGTGTGGAGCCACCTGCTGTTGGGCCGATGAGGGGAGGGCTGTGTGTGGCACTCAGTGCCGGGGCCACTGCAGACAGCACGGTGTACGTGGCTTCAGCTGACCGCCCCCCCACGGCCACGCTCCACAGGGCGAAGTTCCCAGCTGTCCTCCTGCGCTGCTTTCTAGGGCTGAGCCCCCTCCTAAGGGGAGCAGCTGAGGGCGCCCCTTGGGGTGCTGTTGCCCCTTCCTGCCAGCCCCACACTCCCAGATCTCAGCAGGTGGAGAGCTGGGAGCCGAGAGCCCCACCCCGAGGTCCAGCCGGCCGTGGG